TCAGGAATTAATTTTAAGGGTTTGAAAATATTATGGGTCTTTATCTAATTTTAGAATTAAAGTTGAAATATCATTTAGCAACCATTCCTCTAAAAAATGACTAAACAAAATTTCTTTATCCTAATCTCTACCTTTAGACTTTTTTTTGTTTTGAAAACCTGGGTTCTTTGCCCTAATATATTGGGGCATTTTTTACCTAGAGTATATTTACACACAAAAACTACGCATTTTTTCCTATCCATGTTTAGATTTAGTCTATGCTGTGTTTAAGAATTTAGTGTCTGAGTTTCCCATTCATGTATCATTTAATTTTATTTATCTTTGTTGATGTTAGTACTTATTTAAGCATATAATTGCTTCTGTTCTGTTGCTCTTGTCACTTAAGAATTGCCATCATCAATACACTCTTTATCCATTGTCCCCTTGTCTGTTGTATTTTAACGGGCCTTTTCCCCTTTTTCTCAGTTTCCTCTATCTTCTGGTAGAGTCTGTCATTTGCCCTCCCTGTCTCTGAGTCAGTTCTTCTGTTAATTTCCATTTACTGCTTCAAATAAAATGTTTGATTTTTTTAACTTAGCTTTAGGTCACTTAAGATCTTTCTCTTCCTCCAAACAGTTCTTTTGTATTTCCATTCTTTTTCTGCTTTCTCATCATATTCTTTCCATGTTTTAGCTCATATTTTATCTACTGCTTCATAGACTATATATATAGTTTTGTTGAGTTTTATTGTTGGCAAAAATTATGCTTTTTTCTGTCTCTCAAGTGTGCTATTTATCTCTTTCTTGTGGGGTGGCAAAATATTTTGCAGGCTCAGGTTTTGTTTTGTTTCTAGGTTCCAAAGACTTTATTCTTCATCTGAGGGTGCTCTGTTATGGTTTGTTTTGTTCTACAGAAGAGGACAGTGTATTCTTCTTGATTTCTCCAATAATAATAGAATTCTTCTCATATATGCTAAACCAGAAAGGTGGTAGATAGATCAATTATGAATAAGAAAAATAAAATATTTTATTTGACCATCATTTTTCCTTTTCTAATGCTTTCCCTTTCTTTATGTAGGTCTGACTTACTGACCTATATCATTTTCTTTTTTTTTTTTTGAAGAATTTATTTGACCATTTCTTGCAAAGTTGATCTACTGGTGACAAATTTTCTCATTTTTTTTTCCTGAAGACATTTTTATTTATCCTATTCTTTTGAAGGATAATTTCACTGGATGTAGAATTTTAGGTTGTTGAGTTTTTTCTTTCAACACTTTAAATATTTCAGTCCACTGTCTCCTTGCTTGCATATGGAAAAGAGCTCCAAGTAATTCTTATCTGTACTCCTCTATAAGTAAAGTGTGCCTGTGTTGTTTTCTACTCTAGTCTCTTTTGAAATTTTGTCTTTTTTTTCTGCAGTTCAAATACGGTATGCCCAGTTATAGTTTTTTTTTTTTTTTAGCATTTATCCTATTTGATGTTTTCTGAGCTTCCCAGATTTGTGCTTTAGTGTCTATCATTAGTTTTGGGAAATTTTCAGTCTTTATTGCTTCAGATACTTCTGTGCCTTTCTCCCTTCTCCTTGTGGTGTACAATTATTCACATGTTAAATGTTTTATAGTTCACCCACATTTCTTGGATATTCTGGGGATTTCTAGAGTCTTTTATCTCTTTGTTTTGAAGTTCCTGTTGACATATCCTCCAGCTCACTCTTTTTTTTTCAGGTCTGTCCAGTCTACTAATGAGCCCATCAAAGGCATTCTTTGATTCTGTTAGTGTTTTTGATTTCTTGTATTTCCTTTTGATTTGTTCTTAGAATTTCCAACTGTCTGCTTTACCCATCTGTTCTTTCATGTTGTCCATTTTTTTCCATTACAGCCCTTAACATATTCATCATAGTTGCTTTAAATTTCTTGTCTGATAATTCCAGTATCTTTGCCATATCTGTGTCAGGATCTGATGTGTGTTCTATCTCTTCAAACTGAGTTTTTGTCTTTTACCATGCTTTGAAGTGTTTTGAAAGCTATGTATGATGACCTTGGTAAAAGGATCTGAGGTAAACAGGCCTTTAATGCTACATTTTATGATTATCTGACAAGGAGTTTGGCTGTGTTTGCTGTGGCTATGCTGCAGGTGACAGGCTAAAATTTCCTCTGGTGTCCTTATTTTTATCTCCCCTGTTGTCTTTGGGGTTCCCTAGAGACTCATTCTTGAATAAAATTATAAATAAAATTATATGTGCCATTCTTCTAGTTAGTGTATTCTGTTATTACACAGTAGCCCTACAGATGTGGTGGTAAGAAGAGGGGAGAGAAACAAGATACACTCCTATGATTAGTTTCAGTCTTTCAGTGAGTCTGTATCCTTGGGCTGTGAGCTTCTCAGGTGCTTGCCAGTTCCCCACCACCTGCTTAGTGGAGGCTGAAAGGCTGTAGGGGCTGGAGTTGGCTATTTCCCTTCCCCCATGTGGAAGGCTACTAGGGAAGGAGATGGGTATTTTTCTTCCCTCATATACATGGCTGGAGCAGGCTGTGGGTGAGTATCCCCTTTCCCTCAGGTTGGTGAGGCTTGGATAAAATCCCAGCTATTTAGACTTGCAATTTTTTTTTCTTTTGAAGTCAGGCCTTGTTAAGACCAGAATTCTCTGGGAGTATTTCAGATTGATCATTTTTCCCCTCCCTAGGCAGCAAGCAGGAAGGGATTTTTCTCTGATCTTCACCGTGAGAACCTGGTAGCAATCCTGGAGGTAAAACTCATAAAAGTGGGGCAGCCCCCGTATGACAAGGAAACCCCCTCACCTCAGAGTTTCAAACTCTCAGACTTGTCCAAATTCAGTCCCTAGCAATTTTCTAAGTACAATTCAGGATTTCCTACCCAGGCACTGATTCCTGTGGAGATGTCTGCTCTCATTAGATATGATTCTCTGTATCTACCTGTCTGTCTCTCCAATATTTGAGGTAACAGTTTGACCTGTGACTTCAGTTAAAAACCACATCTAGGGCAACCATCTCACTGGAGACATTTTTGTTTACTGGTATTCTTTTGCATGTTGTCCTTTAGCATCCTAAGTCATCTATTTCTGAATAATATTTAATCTCAGCCAATTTAATGATAAGTTGGGTACTCCCTCTGTATTCCTTTGGTCAATACTTTCAATTACAGTCTTCGTTTGGTATTCTTTCAGGATTTCTTCTAATTATTTTCTGTAACTCTGTACTACTTTCTTGGTACAGAGTTATAGAAAATTTGTAATTTTAGGGATTTTAGAAAATGTAGGGATTTATAAATCAACCTTCATATTTCCTCAATATCACTACTCTAGAGCTCATCAAAATGATTTCACTTTGTTCCGTTTAGTTAACACCATTTTTGAATTTTCATTGCTAAGGAAGTCCATCTTATCAACCCAGACTGGAAATATCTATATATGCAAGCATATGATGTATTTATTCACACACACGTGTATATATATATATATATAGATAGATAGATAGAGAGATAGATAGATAGATAGATAGATAGATAGATAGATAGATAGATAGATAGATAGATATGCACACATATGCATATGTATTTCCATAAATTTTAGTTGTATAATGGAAAGGAAAGTATATGGCAAGGTAAATACCTGTGCTCAAGTCAGCATCTTTTCTTGGTGTCCTCTAAATATTTTGCACAGTATTAAGTAGCTGACCAGGAGTCTACAGAATACCCTGAGAAAATTAGTCATCCAGAACAGGATCTCCCAGTATGGCAGCATTTACTGGAGTTGGCCTAGTCCCACTGGGCCATGCCTCAGGGAAAAATCACAGAATGAAGAACATTTATTTGAGTTAAGACAACCCTGCCAAGATATAGGACAAAAGACAATTTTGCTCACTTAGTCATCTCAGGGCACTCATCCACAGCACAATATGGTGCACCTACTTGGTAAAAATAATTATGGTAAAAGTTGGCATGAGAGAGGGGTTTGTTAGATCAGTTGTGTGTTTTTTTTAATGGACCAGAGGAAAATAGGTTTAAATAACTTGCATACAAAAGAAGAAAAGATCATGTTTATTTGGGGTGTGCTGGTTACCAGCACACTCAAACTCAAGAATAAAGGAAGAATTGCATGATCAGGAGATAAGCCTGCAATCACTTTTATTACCATAATCTCTCAAGAGGCTCAACACTAACATAACAGGTTGCAAACAGATTCTTGTCATCTCGTGTGAACACAGACCCATCATCATAAGTGGTATAACATGTTTTCAAACAGGTTGGAGTAATGTTTAACAGACATTCGTTAGCAGCTCAACTTCCTAAACACTGAAAAAAAGACAATTACGGGCAAGACTGGCAGTTAAACACTTGAGTCCATGTTATATTTATTGGACAATTCCTGAAGGTGTTAGCTATGCACATTTGGTTGATTACATAAGTAGTTGCTGCTAGTCTGATTATAACCAGATTTGGTGTTTTTAAGGCTTTATTTTGGTTGATTACATAAGTAGTTGCTGCTAGTCTGATTATAACCAGATTTGGTGTTTTTAAGGCTTTATTAAATATACTCATCTGGTCTGGCTGAGCAATAGGTGGGGGCATATGGTTCCAATGCTTACTGAACCACCAAGTGAAAGGAATTTATGGGTTCAATTTTATGTGAGATACATATTCTTAGTTACTGTTTGAATCAGGTACTTAACACAAGGGATTTGCTGGCAATATAAAACACATTAGTCTGAGAAAAAAGTTCCATACACTACTTGTATCTCTAACTATGGGATTCTGCTTAACTGGATCTTGTGTTCTTACTTGAAAGTAAGAAGTAGCACTAGATAACTTATTAGAAAACTTCTTTAAATCTTGTAGGTCAGCAAAATATTTGACAAGCTTTTGATAAAACTAGAGATACTTAATTTTCATCTAGACCTCTGGGAACAAGATGATCCATCTAGAAATTAATCCATTCATTTACATATTGTTTTGAGTTCTTACTTTTCCCCTCATTTTTTTAAATTTTCCTTTTTTATTCTGCAGATTATTCTGATGCATAACCAACATTGAGAACTTCTTCCATAAGTATCTTCTAACTCCTAAATGGATTAGTGCCCAACTGGGCATTTGTGTCCATCAGAGTCTCCTACCCATATGGTTTATCTCAAGAAAATAAGTGCTAAACCTAGGAAGAACCTAGAGCGACTACCCAAGGTAAACATGATGACAAAGAACAACAATGAAAACTTCAGTAGGAAAATGGATATGGGTAATGTAAGGCAATTTCGACATCTTAAATGTCCAAAGTGGTTATGATTAAAAAAACTAGGACTGAAGTATATTTTACAGTATTGATGTTAGGATCTGATGCAGTACAGTTAATTAATCAAGATCATCAATTTATGCAAGATAAGGGAAGTCCATGGGAAGTATACAACCCAGGTATAGATCTGGAAAGTCTTCAAGAAAATAAGACAGGTTCTAATCAAAGGGCTGGTCGACCTCGACCTGGCTTGACGTCTCTGAACGGTTAATAGTAAGTCTCCATTAGAGTTTTCCTACATTAAAAGCATTGTAGATGGGAAACTATGTGTGTAGGGGTGAGGAGGAGGAAGCATTAGATTTGGGAAAACATTTTCTAAATTAGTTCTAAAATGCCAGAGGGAGGACCTTAATTAGGTTTTGGTGTTTCAGCCCTAGAGCAAGAAAGTTTCTAAACTCTGTTATTTAACACAACAATTTATTTCTTTTGAACCTCTCACATCATGAAGTCTAGCTGAATATTTTCCATTTATCTCCCCTCATCTGGAATCCTCACTTGCTTGTCCTTGTTCAGAGCCTTATTATCTCCAGTCTGATTATAACTCCAGCTTTCTCACTGGTCTGCTTTGTCTATTCTCTTCCTCTTGAAGCCCAGTTCACTAGATGCAAATATGAGATATGGCTTGAAACTTTCAGCTTCTTTCTGTCTACCTACAGGGCAGATATCTTCTTCAATGTGTTCCTGGGCATTACCATCTCACTGCTTTATTTGTTTATTGTTTTTTTATCAAGGTGTCATTGATATACACTCTTACGAAGGTTTCAAATGAAAAACATTGTAGTTACTACATTCACCCATATTATCAAGTCCTTCCCATGCCCCATTGAAGTCACTGTCCATCAGTGTAGTAAGATACCACAAAATCACTACCTGTCTTCTATGTGCTAAACTGTCTTCCCTGTGAACCCAAACGCACCATGCATGTGTACCAATCATAATACTGCTCAATCCCCTTTTCTCTTCCTCCCCAACCACCCTCCCCCACACATTCCCTTTGGTGATGGCTAGTCCCTTCTTTGAGTCTGTGAGTCTGTTGTTGTTTAGTTCCTTCAGTTTTGTTTCATTGTTATATTCCGCAAATGAGGGAAATCATATGGTACTTGTCTTTCTCTGCCTAGCATATTTCACTGAACATAATACCCTATAGCTCCATCCATGTTGTTGAAAATGGAAGGATTTGTTTTCTTCTCATGCTGAATAGTATTGCATTGTGTATATGTACCACATCTTCTTTATCCATTCCTATACTGATGGACACTTAGGTTGCTTCCATATCTTGGCTATTGTAAATAGTGCTGCAGTAAACATAAGGGTGCATATGTCTTTTTGAATCTGAGATCTTGCTTTCTTTGGGTAAATTCCTAGGAGTAGAATTTCCAGGTCAAATGGTATTTCTATTTATAGTGTTTTGAAGAGCCTCCATATTGCTTTCCACAATGGTTGAACTAATTTATTTTCCCATCTGCAGTGTAGAAGGGTTCCCCTTTCTCCGCAACCTTGCCACCATTTGTTGTTCCTAGTCTTTTTGATGTTAGCCATCCTAACTGGTGTGAGGTGTTATTTCATTCTGGTTTTAATTTACATTTCCCTGATAATTAGCAATGTGGAACATCTTCTTATGTGCCTCTTGGCCATATAAGTTTCTTCTTTGGAGAGGTGTCTGGTCAGACCCTCCATTGGTATTTTAATCAGGGTATTTGTTTATTGGGTGTTGATGTGTGTGAATTATTTATATATTTTGGATGTAAACCCCTTGTCAGATAACTCATTTACAAATATATTCTCCCATACTGTAGAATGCCTTTTTGTTCTATTGATGGTGTCCTTTGCTGTACAGAACCTTTTTAGTCTGATGTAGTCTCACTTGCTCATTTTTACTTTTGCTCCCTTGCCTGAGGAGATGCGTTCAGGAAAAAGTTGCTCATATTTATATTTGAAAGAATTTTGCCTATGTTTTCTTCCAATAGTTTTATGGTTTCATGACTTACATTCAGGTCTTTGATGCATTTTGAGTTTACTTTTGTGTGTGGAGTTAGAAAATAATCCTGATTCATTCTCTTAGATGTAGCTGTCCAGTTTTGCAAACACCAGTTGTTGAAGAGGCTGTTATTTCCCCATTGTATATCCAGGGCTCCTTTATCATCTATTAATTGACCATATATGCTTGGGTTTATATCTGAGCTCTCTATTCTTTTCTATTGATCTATGGGTCTGTTCTTGTGCTAGTGCCAAATTGTCTTGACTACTAAGGCTTCGTAGTAGAACTTGAGGTTGGGAAGCATAATCCCCCCAGCTTTATTCTTCCTTCTCAGGATTGCTTGGCTATTTGGAGTCTTTTGTGGTTCCATATGAATTTTAGAACTATTTGTTCTAGTTTGTTGAAGAATGCTGTTGGTATTTTGATAGGGATTGCATTGAATCTATAGATACCTTTAGACAGGATGGCCATTTTGACAATATTAATTATTTGTATCCATGAGCACAGGATGTATTTCCATTTATTGGTATCTTATTTAATTTCTCTCAGTGTCTTGTTTTCAGAATATAGGTCTTTCATGTCCTTGGTTAGGTTATTCCTAAGTATTTTATTCTTTTTGATGCAATTGTGAATGGAACTGTTTTCCTGATTTCTCTTTCTGTTAGTTCATCATTAGTAAATAGGAATGCAACATATTTCTGCGTATTGATTTTGTATCCTGCAAGTTTACTGAATTCAGTTATTAGTTCTAGTTGTTTGGGGGGGATTCTTTAGGGATTTTTTTATGTACAATATCATGTCATCTGCAAACAGTGACAGTTTAACTGTTTCCTTACCAATCTGGATGCCTTTTATTTCTTTGTGTTGTCTGATCACCATGGCTTGGACCTCCAGTAGTAAGTTGAATAAAAGCAGGGAGAGTAGGTATCCTTGTCTTGTCCCCTATCTTAAAGGAAAAGCTTTCAGCTTCTCACTGTGAAGTATGATGTTGGCTGTGGGTTTGTCATATATGGCCTTTATTAAGTTGAGGTACTTGCCCTCTAAACTCATTGTGTTGAAAGTTTTTATCAGGAATGGGTGTTGAATTTTTTTGAATGTTTTTTCAGCATCTATGGAGATGATCATGTGATTTTTGTCCTTCTTTTGTATATATGGTATATAATGTTGATGGAATTTCAAATATTGTACCATCCTTCTATACGTGGAATAAATCCTACTTGATCATTATGGTTGACCTTATTGATGCATTTTTGAATTTGAATTGCTAATATTTTGTGGAGGATTTTTACATCTATGTTCATCAGGGATATTGTTCTGTAATTTCTTTTTTTGTGATGTTTTTGTTTGGTTTTGAAATTAGAGTGATGCTGGCCTTATAGAATGAGTTTGGAAGTACTCCCTCCTCTTGGACTTTTTGGGAAACTTTAAGGAGGATGAGTATTAGGTCTTCACTAAATGTTTGTTAAAATTTAGCTGTGAAACCATCTGGTACAGGAATTTTGTTCTTAGGTAGTTGTTTAATTACCAATTCAATTTTGTTGCTGGTAATTGTTCTGTTCATATTTTCTGTTTCTTCCTGTGTCAGCCTTGGAAGATTGTACTTTTCTAGAAAGTTGTAGAAAGTTGTCCATTTCTTCTAGGTTATCCAGTTTGTTAGCATATAATTTTTCATAGTATTCTCTAATAATTCTTTGTATTTCTATGGTGTCCATCATGATTTTTCCATTCTCATTTCTGATTCTGTTTATGTGTGTAGATACTCTTCTTTTCTTGATAAGTCTGGATAGGAGTGTATCTATTTTATTAATTTTCTCAAAGAACCAGCTCCTGCTTTCACTGATTCTTTGTATTGTTTTATTCTCAATTTTATTTATTTCTGCTCTGACCTTTATTATGTCCCTCCTTCTCCTGACTTTGGGTCTCATTTGTTCTTCTTTTCCTGATTTCATTAACTGTGAATTTAGACTGTTCATATGGAATTGTTGTTCTTTCCTGAAGTAAACCTGTATGGCAATATACTTCCCTCTTAGCACAGCCTTTGCTGCGTCCCACAGATTTTGCGGTGTTGAGTTATTGTTGTCATTTGTTTGCATATACTGCTCGATCTCTGTTTTTATTAGATCATTGATCCATTGATTATTTAGGAGCATTTTGTTCAGCCTCCATGTATTTGTGGGCTTTTTTCTTTTCTTCATGTAATTTATTTCTAGTTTTATAACTTTGTGGTCTTAGAATCTGGTTTGTACAAATTCAGTCTTTTTGAATGTACTGAGGCTCTTTTGTTGCCTAGTATATGATCTATTCTTGAAGATGTCCCATGTGCCCTTGAGAAGAAAGTGTATCTTGCTGCTTTTGGGTGGAGTGTCCTGTAGCTGTCTGTTAGGTCCATCTGTTCTAATGTGTTGTTCAGTGCCTCTGTCTCCTTACTTATTTTCTGTCTTGTTGATCTGTCCTTTGAAGTGAATGATGTGTTGAAGTCTCCTGAAATGAATGTATTGCATTCTATTTCAACCTTTAATTCTTTCAGTATTTGTTTCACATATGTAGGTGATCCTGTATTGGGTGGATAGGTATTGTAATGGTTATATCCTCTTGTTGGACTGACCCCTTTATCATTATGTAACATCATTCTTTGTATCTTGTTACTTTCTTTGTTTTGAAGTCTATTTTGTCTGATTCAAGTACTGCAACTCTGTCTTTTTTCTCCCTATTTTGCATTAAATATCTTTTTCTTCCCCTTCACTTTTAGTCTGTTTATGTCTTTGGGTTTAATGTGAGTCTCCTGTAGGCAGCATAAAGACAGGTCTTGTTTTTTTATCCATTCAGGTACTCTATGTCTTTTCATTGGTGCATTCAGACCATTTACATTTAGGGTGATTATTGATAGGTATGTACTTATTGACATTCCAGGCT